TCCATCTTTTATTAGTTATTAACGACATTATTATTATATTTCAATCTTGTATTGACTCGATAATCAAACATGCAAAACATAGTCACATAGCTGCTTTGGAGATTCTCTTAAGTAGTTTCTGGTTAATTGATTTATAGTTGCAATCTTTCATACAGATATATAAGTTCTCCAGATAAGATATCACTCTTAGCTACAATTTGTGTTCATTGTATTAGATATCCGTTTCTATATGAAGTGCAACCCCTAAGCACTCAGGTGATGGCACAGTACAATGCTTGCAATCAGGAAGAATAAGTCTGTTTTTTGGAAATAATCAGGAAGAATAAGTCATAATGTAGACTTTGCATTATCATGCTCAGACTGATGTATTTTGAAGCTATCAAAAGATGAGGACCTCATATTAAATTGAAGATAACTTTGAAGTTCGTGTAAGAAAAAAGATGAAAAAAGAAGGTTGCCTGAGTGGCTTGATGCGTAAACGTAAACTATTTAAAGGAAACTTGAAAACAACTAATCTCTTTTTTCTGTACTGAGGATTATACCTATATCTGCTATATTACCTTCATGTTTCTGAAGTGTTCTGTAAAGTAAGTGCATTCAATTTTCTATCTTCTGAAAGGGGGGTAGTGAATTAGTGCTAGAAGTAGTAGAGAAATTTAACATTATCTGATATTGTTTCAACATGAATTGGTTCTGGGAATTTAATGCAAGGTGAAAGCTGAAAAAGTTTTTCTGAGAATGGTCTTAAAATGTATTAATTTACTGGTTGATAGCAGCCATCCCTCTCTTTCCTTGACATGCTTAATTGCTGCTCATGTTGGGCTTTTATTGGTTTGATGTTTGAGAAACCTCTTTCCAGTCATCAATTGTTTATGCCTAGCAAGTTCGATATGGTGCATACAGAACCCTGATCTTTAACATAATATTTTGACTCTTATTTACAGCTCAGATTTGGCAAAAGCTCCAGCGATAAAATTGGAACAGCCATTTGTGCATTTGTTTTTTAGCTTGTTCATATATGCAAATACTTTTTAGTGATGAAAGTTCATATGCTTACCTGCTCTAGTTTTGCATCTTAAGGCTTGTTAATTGTGTTATTGAGAAGACCCGGAAGAAAACATCAGTTTCAATTGCTGAGGCTGCTGAGGCAATTGGTATTCCGCGTATGTTGATTGATCTTCGTCATGGTGAGCGGCTCTAATCATGGGGTGCTATTTGATGTTATCGAAACAGTGAGGACTTTTGTTTTGTTTGCATCTTACAATTTGCAATACTGAGCATATGTTTTTATGCCTTTTCACAGAGGGTTCTCATCGTGAGCTCCCTTCACTGTTAGTGCTTCAGGATTCCGCAGATAAGGTATAATTTATTCTTAATTTATTTAATCTCTGAGCTATATCTTTCTTTTTTTCGAAAAAAAAAAAAAGTTAGATATGCATGTGCAAACAAAACGTTTGTATTTATCTAATATGGCCTACTTTTAAAAAATTGTAACACTCCCTACTCTAAAGAGCATGAGCATATATTTTCTTAGTTAGCCTATTTTTTAACAAGCCTATGACATTACTGGCTTTTTGATGTTAGAGCATTAGGTGCTTTCTATGTGCATTTCCTGGATACATTTGGCTATTATGATCTTATTCGTTAAGTTTTTTGCTGCAACCCCATTA